GTATTTCGACTTAATTTGCTTCTTTTAGAAGTTATTTTTAGCTTGATTTAATTTCCCTAATGTAACAGTCTGCCCTCCTATGTAGAAGTAAATCAAGTCCCCTTTTTAAAAAATTGGTTTACTAAAAATTAAATTGAACACAAATTTTCATTTATTGAAAACAAAAATATCCTTGGCACTATGAAACTATGTACCTACAACGGGGTTCCTACAATTCCAATGTACTTTGTCAAGTAAGTTGTTCCCATACTAACTAACTCGCTAAATGTTTAAGAAATCGAGACATACAAAGAGTTATTTCAATAAAATTCCTGAGATATTCAAAATTAATGTTCTTTAAATTGTAAATTTTATTACAAAAATGTTTTACAATAATATCACAACCGATTCCATTTCTGTTGATCCACTATGCAGACAATAGACGCTTAATTTTATGAACCTAAGAAAGCACCGAATATTCACATCATCGATGTGTTCATATTAACGAATGCTACATTTAATATGTAACAAACATTTACACTTAACAGACAAAAATTCAATCACTGTTGGTTATTGGTATAAAGCTTATGCAGTGACTTATATGAAGACGCGAACGACGTTTCACGCTCAAGTTGTGAGACTTCTTCAGGGTAAGTTTCCTAGTTAATTTCCATGATGCTTAAACGGTGCGATTAGTGGCAAAGATATAAAAAAGTGATGACATAATTATAACAGTAATAAAGATTTAATAAATGTAATGGTTAATTAAAACACTGTTGCGGATTATCAGTTGTTACGAACAAGTTACTTTCTGAAGCCTGTTAAAATAACTCATTTTAGACATATCCACCAGGGGTCCGACTTGCCGCGTGATGTTACATTTTCCGACTATATACCTTAATAAATTACCTTCTTACTGCAGATAAAAACAATTTGTAACATGACGCAGTTATTTCTAATTTTGCTATTTTTAAAAGCATATTTGTCCTGGATATTCATAAGTTTCATTAACGAACATTTAATTATCTTGTGAAGATCTGCGAGTGAAGTTGAATAACTGAAATTTACCGGAATGTAATTTCGGAAATAGAAGCTTATGTATAAGTAAGACGTCTGTCTCCGGGAATGAGAATTACGTATTACGTACTTAGGAAGTAGACAACAAATCTCCGCATCGCTATAATAAGGAAAACGTGCCCTTTTCGGTTTAGTTTTACCATTATGAGAAGTTAAAAAAGTTGATGGTAGAGGGGTCGTAGGTACTTAGGAACAAAGTTAGATAAATGCCTTTTTTATATCGTCGGAATTATGTACCTATTAGCAAATTATGATAAAAATCTGATTTCAAACATTATCTTTAGATTACTTGGATTATCCTTAATCCCGTTATAATTTAGAAGCGTGACGATGGCTACTAAATGTTCTATTAGTGTTGACAAATTTCGTTATACAGAGCTTCTATTAAACGTATGGCAACATTAATAAATAGTAGTTCCTGGCTTATCCTAAGTATATTTTATCCTTTGATGATATTTGAAAAGTTATTTGGTTAGGAAGGTATAGGGCTATAAATGTTGCAACAAAACCATTTAGATATTTTAAAAATTATTACAGGTAATATAATCGGCTATGTTAGGTTTATCGAGTACAAAACTGCATTCTTATCTTTTAACAAAACTTATTCTGATTACTAAAAGCAGCAGTCTCGTTTCATATTAGATTAAACTTAGAAAATATCCAATTTCTTAAATCATCTATATATTAAGACTGGTTGGACACGCACTTCCACTCTTTCTAGTCTTAGCATTTCCCAAAAACTAAAACATTTTACATCCTTAACTCCTTGCGAACAGTAATCTAATCTAGGTCTACATTTACTTATCTTAAGTCTTGTTTCTACCTCTAATATGTCTCTACACTAGCCTTTCATGTCGGAAAAGGTGTCCTACCAACCTATCTCGCCTATATCTTATTAACTTCCACAGATTCCTCTGTTCTTTTAATCTTTCTAATACCTTTTCATCTCTAATCTTCCCTATCTACGGTATCCTCATCATTCGCCGGTAATACCACATTTCGAACGCTTCTAACCTTTTTGTTACTATTATTTCCTCTATTATGTTTCGCACCCGTACAGCGCTGTGCTCCAAACATACACTTTAATAATCTTTTTAGAATTTCTAAGTTGACCGTTCACTAGCATTGAAGTAGGTATAGTACTTTCTTTTTATTGAAGGCGACTCGATCCTGCGCTATCCTCTGGTTTATATATCCCTACTGCTACTTTCATCCTGACTTATCTGACTTTTGTATGTGTAAGTATCATATACAAGTAATTTTAAGGTTTTCTATAAAGAGTTTTCAAGTTTCCCCTTGTTTTTTTAATAGTGTCGAAAGAAAATGAAACAAAATTTTGATGATGGTTAGTCCGAAAAGCCACATTTTCTCTTAAAATGTAGTAAATAGTTTCGGTTCATAACTTAAATCTTAGGCTTGTCTTTGTCTCTTTTCATATTTCACCATACACATGCCTGTGTATTAGTTGCGCAAAATTGAAAATATTTTATCGTTTCATCATAAAATTAATTACACTGATTATAATTACAATTTTGGTTCGTATGGGTGCTATTGTTCATAAATTATACATATATATTTTCGGCTTTGTACATATTTTCGGCTATTCTCATTCGGAAAAAGGTCTCTACGATTACAGCAGTTCTTGTATGATAGACGCAGTCGCTCCTGTTTATCTTTAATTCGATAATTTACCATCTCAATTGTTCTTTTACGTTTCGTGCAAAGATACAAAAGCGAGAAGAACTAAAAAAGCAACATAGATATTTCTAGCAACCGTGCAATTTATTATTGTACTATGCGGTAATATCAAGCTTGTAAAATATTCTATTACTATTTTTTTACCTGTAACAAGTGTTTCAAAATCCATGATGTTCACGTCGAGATAAAACACTCACTAACTAATGTGATTACCGCCCCTCCCTGAGAATTTAACAATAATGACAATAACAATTGCCGCACTAAGTTTCATTGTTTGTTGGTTTAGAGTGCCGTCTGTATATCTTTTTGTTTGCCAGTGCTGTTGTCACAGAAATTTTACGCGGAGCTACTCCACAGTAACGCTATTTGTTTCAAATTTGCAGATGAAGAAATTCGTAGTATATTTGAATCTGCTGTAGCATTTTATTCGACGTTTTTAATGAGGAAGAAAGTAATTATTATTCTATTATTAGTGTAAGTTGCTGCTTCCTGTATCTCACTGTCTGCTACTTCTTTAAATTGATTCTTATAATGCTTTGGTCCATCCTTTCAAACGGATATTTTTTATTGTGAGTTAAAAATTCTTACTGTATAAATTTTGGTGATAAACTGAAATTGAACTTTACTTTTTCTATTATTTCATAAAAAAATTCTTAAGTTTCTACTTAATAATAATAAAATCTGAGAGTTAGTTTTTCTTTTTACAATCAAAATAATATTTGCTATTAACTGAGGTCCAGTCACAACGTTATTATGCTTTTTTATTTAACATTTATCAATTTCCTAATTTATTCATATGTTATCCAATGTACATTACAAATGATTTTTATTTTAAATTCTATTCTGTAGATATTGATTATAAAATCCAGTTATTGAAAATTATATTATAAAATTACACAATTTTCA